GCCGTATATACGGCCGCCCTCCGAGGTCGACCCCGCGGACGCGTCCGCGGGTGTTTCGTAGCCTTAGTGTGGCCAGCGCTCAGGACCATTGCCCTACCAACRGGGAGGCAACTTGGACCGAACAGCAGTGATAGGCACCAGGGCTGATAGATTGCCCAGCMCTGGTGGAAGAGGAATCRGACGAACCTTGTCGRACGGGAACTTCGGACGCCAGGCCCAGACAATGAACTACAGGCCCCATATATAGCCACCAGACAGTTCTATCAGAAWSTAAGTAGGAACTGCACCCAATGRCACCCTATCCARCCTACCTGAACCTACTGCAGGCACTAGACCCCACCAGTGACTACCTCCCCAGTCTTTTTTTTGTGTGWATGTTCTGTGCATCTATGTAGACAGTATCATGTGTGGAAACTTATGTATGTAACCCATAGGCTATATATAATTCGCAAGCTATGTGTGTMTGMCCGAAAGCTATGTGTACTCTGTGAATCATGTGTGTATATCCAGGAGAGACCGGGGCAAGCTGGACAAGGACCCCCCCCGAGGACAGAACCAAGCTCGAACCTGTAACCTTGTAACATGTAATCCAAGACTCTACTGTATGAGCAACTACCCGAAATGGAACGAAAGTGTGATATGCCAGACTGGGGAGAACATCAGAACACCCGAGACCAACACCMCAAGCAAACCCTGTGAAACYCACAACCAACATACAACATCGTGGACTWCCCTTGGGTGGTGCGCAGGCAGTGTCTGTAATAGTACAATGCGTCAGCCCAAGGGGATGTGTGTCCAGGGATGCGTCAACATAACGCCCTGCCGGTGTCCATGCGCAAGGCTGCGGGGTTTTGAACCCGCARCCTTATACCACAATGCGCATTTCCAACCTGTGCTCTAACCACTGAGCTACATCAACTGAAGCCCAAGCTGCCAGCCCAATGATAAGACCACAAAAACCGAGTATCCAGGTGTACGCAAATAATACAATAACCGGGGTCGCCATGGCATAGTGCAGCTCCGTTTTATTCTTTGCTTTCCGCTCGGAGATACCGCTTAGGGCATATTCGCCATTCTATTGCAGGATGCATCACCAAAATAATGCAGCCCCCTCCATTAGTGGGCTCTTGCACTCACCAAGGGACGGATGACGGGTCCGAAGTCGGGGGGAAGTTATCGAACTGACTGACCCGGCCTACCTTCTTCCCCCGAATACAACGTACCGTCATTAAAGCTGTATTAGACGAAAAAAGAGCCAAAAACAGCTATAATGACCGTACGTTGTATTGAGGGGAAGAAGGTAGGTAATTCAGAATTGCAGCGTCTTAGTCATCTGCCAACATGGAGTTCGAACTCGGGTTCGCATTTCAACAGTTCAGCCGTGGACCGACTGAGGGCATACTCGCACAAAGACTATCCTGGATCTACATGAGCACTTCTCCAACCCAGCCTCGATGCACCAGGCTCCACTTACGTCCAAAGGGAAATGGAAAGAGTTCCAGTGTGAGTATGCCCTGAGCTATAGGGGCCAGTCGGAGGCGGAAGTACTTTGTTCGGAGGAAGAGGAGCGTAGGACGCACACTGGGAGTCGGAGAGGATATGAAGAGCGGGTGAGAGGGCTGTTCAGCAGGCGGGTCGAGAGCAGTTGAGACTCGAGAGCGGTGGGGTAGAGGACAGTGTCCACAGTCGACAGCAGTCGAGAGCGGTGCGGTAGAGGGCAGTGTCCACAGTCTGATGTTGTATTGCCCCTTTGGGAAACTGCACGAAGGCTTTGAGGAAGGACTCTAGCCATGATCACGGTCAGGTACGTCCTGGAGAGTGCTCGTGCAAGTATGCATAATTCATATGCTTGAGGTGTGTCCAACGGCTGCTCCCACGGCTTCTGTGTTGTGGTTGGCGGGGGGCGTGAGTGTTGTACCTACAACGAACCGGTCACTACGTTAACACGCAGGACGACGGCAGGAAGGCAGGGCAGCAGGCGGCATAGAGCTAGGTAGGGAGAGACAGAAAGAGGAGAGAGTAGGAGGCGGTGCATCGAGCAGTAGGAGCGGAGTGAGGGCGTTGGTTGAACCGGCGTAGCAGGGCGTAGTAGGCGCTTGGCAGGGAGTCGCCATGGCGGCCGAGTTTGCATTGGACCATATGTACCACTGGATCTACATCCTGGCGATCATCGTCTCGTTCTTGATGGCATGGGGAATCGGTGCCAATGATGTGGCCAACTCATTCGGGACATCCGTGGGGTCGGGCGCCATCACCATGAAGCAGGCAGTGGTGATTGCGTGGGTGTTTGAGTTCTGCGGGGCTTTCTTCATGGGAGGCCGCGTGGCCGATACGATGAAGGGCGGCATAGTGGACCCGAAGATCTTTYTGATCCCGGACGGTAAGTTTGACAAAGCCGGCGCTGCGTTGCTCATGTGGGGCATGTTCATCGCGATCGCGGTTGCCGCCGTGTGGATCGTCCTCGCCACCTTCTACGGCATGCCCATCTCCACCACACACTCCATCATCGGCTCCTTCATTGGCTTCAGCATGGTGGCCAGGGGAGCGAACTCTGTCTTCTGGTACAAGGAGGACCCGACGAGCGATCTGAAGGTCGGGGGATTCGCTGCCATCGTCGTGTCATGGGTGCTGACGCCCCTTATTGCCGGCATGGCCTCCGTCGTCCTCTTCACTTTCACGAAAATAGTCATTCTCCGRCCGCAGAACTCGGAACGGAGGACGCTGATCGCTATGCCCATCTACTACGGCCTGACCGCCTTCATCATTACCTTCTTCATCGTGTACAAGGGGTCGGCCCGGCTGAAGCTGAGCGACATCGGCAACGGGAAGGCCACCTGGATCGCCATAGTCGTMGCCGTCGGGGTCGCCTCCCTGGCCGCCCTGATCGGCATTCCTCTTGCSAAGAGGAGACTGGCAAATCTGGAGKATCGCAAGCAGCACAAGGCGGAGCAGAAGGCGCGAGACAGGGCTCTCATTGCGCAGGTTGCAGGSGGCGGTGCCAAGGAGTGCGACGAGGAGAAGGGTGAGCAGGGATGCAAGGCGCCGGCAAGCAGAGTCGAGGAGGACGGCGCAGGGMCGTYGATGACGRCATGGCAGCGTGTCAAGGCGTGGTACCTGYTGGTGGAGAGCAAGACAATCTCGCATGACCTGGAATTCACCGAGCACACGCTGGATCTGCACTCMCGCGCCGAGATGTTCGACGAAAGGTCTGAGGAGCTCTTCAGCTTCCTGCAGGTGCTCACTGCCTGCGCCGCAGCCTTCGCCCACGGCAGCAACGACACGGCCAACGCAATCGGCCCTCTCTCCGCCGTCCAGAACATCTACCAGGGAGACGCAGTGAAGTTCGACGACAAGAAGGGGAAGCTCACGCTCCCCAAGCTGGAGGTGGAATCGTGGCAACTGGCCATGGGGGGTTTTGCACTCGGTCTCGGCTTCGCCGTCTGGGGATGGAGGATGGTGCGCAACCTGGGCGGCGCCGTGACGAAGATGACGCCGTCGCGAGGTTTCACGGCGGAGCTGTGCGCTGCCATGACCGTGGTCGTTGCCAGCCGCTTCGGTATGCCGATCTCCACCACGCAGACGCTGGTGGGGGCGACCATCGGGGTCGGCGCTTCCGACGACTGGAGGAACGTCGACTGGTGGCTCTTCTGGAAGTTCGTTATGTCCTGGGTTATGACCATCCTCTTTGCCGGATTTGTTACTGCGGCCGTCTTCTCCTTCACCGTCTTCTCGCCGTCCGTGCAAGTCTAGTGAAATCGTCGACATCATGGACTGGAGTCGACCGCACCGCCCCTCCCACCCGCAGAACTAAACACAGCAGAGGGGATGGCCAACGCTATTCCTTTTTCTTCTTCGCATTTTTTCCCGTGGACACTAGGAGAGCCTCAGCTACACCCACATTCTGCGTCATCTTCATCCCTTCATCGACATCGCCATCCCGACTGCAGCGGTAAAAAAAATCGTGGGGGAGGGGGGGGGAAGCAAGCACAGACGGGTGGACATCGGGAGGGCAAGAGGATTGGCCGACGTCTGGCCTGTCGGCCGAGCCGTTTGAAGCCGTGAAGTAGCCATGCCAGGTCCCATGGACGTTACGGAGGGCTGCAGTATCAGATCGTGTCCTGGCTCGGTTGGAAGCGGTCTCCACTGAATGTTTCCTTCTGATGGACGAGGTCAAGCGGAGATGGGCCTGAGAAAGAATTCGTCTCCATCGGTTCTCCTCCAGCGCCTCCGCATCGCCTCCGTTYGCCTCCGTTTGCTTTTGCTTTGCGTCCAGGACTTCCTACGATGGCGTTCACTTGGTTGCAAACGGATGCAGCTAGCGAACGCTGAGCCCCAGGTAGCAGTTGGTTACCAGTGTGCGATTGATTTCCGGGCGGTCGTGCGGGGTCGGATCACGGTGCCAGAGAGGCGCCAGAAGAGCAGGAGGCGACGCGCATGTCGTTCTGTTCTCATCCATCACTATGCGGCCGAAGGAACGCMCGGTTGCTGCCATACTAGGAGCCATACTTCATACGAGCTTCCTGAGGAACCGTGGGGATGGAAAGGGAGCAAGATGAGTAGTAGTACCAGTAGTCCACACAAGGGTAAGGAACGGCAGCAGCAGAGGTGGTGTTAGAAGAGAGAGGACTAGTAGTAGGAGCAGTAGCAGTAGTAGTAGTAGTAGTAGTAGTAGTAGTAGTAGTAGTAGCAGTAGTAGTAGTAGTAGTAGTAGCAGTAGTAGTAGTAGTAGTAGTAGCAGTAGTAGTAGTAGTAGAAGTAGTAGTAGTAGTAGTAATAGTAGTAGTAGTAGTAGTAGTAGTAGTAGTAGTAGTAGCAGCAGCAGCAGCTGTAGTAGTGGTACTATAGTAGGCGTAGTAGCGGAAGCAGTAGTAAAAGGAGTAGTCGACGTAGCACTAGTAGTAGCAGTAGTGCTAGTAGCAGCCGAAGTCGTGCTACTACTACTCGTAGTAGTAGCAGTAGTAGTAGTAGTAGTAGTAGTAGTGGAAGTACTGGTATTAGTTGTAGAGGTAAGTAGCAGCCGCAGTCCTCTTTGGCATCCAGGTACTGCGATTCCGCTCTTAGTATTCGAAAAATTGAATTGGATTCGGCCGTGCCGTTTTAAGCTTTTAATCAAGCAGTGTATAGAATTCGCTCCTCCTTCCTTACTGCATGGATAATAAGCGACCGGCCGTGGGTCATGTCTCCGTTCTGCGGATGGTCAGTCTCTCTCCGTGCGTAGTTGCTACGGACACGAAGACATTGAAGGTGCACGAACAGCAAGTGTACACGGAACTACATCGGTATCGATGAATGCGTGACCTCAGCGGAAAAGAGGAGATATGTGCAGGCAACGTTCACCCACATGCGTATGCAGTAAGTACAACAGAGGACGACCGGTGTGTGTTTGTGAAGGGATAGCGAGAGCGAGAGCGAGCGAGCGAGAGAGAGAGCGAGAGAGCGAGAGAGCGAGAGCGAGAGCGAGAGAGCGAGCGAGCGAGAGAGAGAGCGAGCGAGCGAGAGCGAGAGCGAGAGCGAGAGCGAGAGAGCGAGCGAGCGAGCGAGCGAGCGAGAGAGAGAGAGAGAGAGAGAGAGAGAGAGAGAGAGAGAGAGCTGCTAGACGAGAGTAGGTGGATCTTCCCGATTCTTCATGGCTCATTTGATTATGCGCGCAATAATGGCCGGCAGGAGGAGGCGATGGACGACACCTGTGCGGGTGCCGATCTAGATTCCGATTCCTTCAGCTAAAAGTGCAATTTTGTATTGTATCATTATTACATGATTCTGAATTTTTTATTATTATACTTTACTGCCGCCAATAGCTCATGGCGCTTTTAGCAGAAACACGTGAGGCGGTTTGCCAGGATGCCTGCAAGGGACAGTAGCTGTGACGCCGTGCGCCAAGCGCACACACACACACACACAGAGCGAGCGAGCGAGAGAGAGAGAGAGAGAGAGAGAGAGAGAGAGAGAGAGAGAAGCAGGAGCTGAGTCGGGCTGTTTTTCTTGCATCACTAAGCAAGGGCGTTCACAAAGAGATTTTCGTTTTCACAAGGGCTTACATGAATTGTTCTTTCGCTATTTTGAGAAGGCAAGGTTACACTATCAAGCCACAACTACGGCGACTTGGTACTGCGGTAATCACTGTCCTCAGTGTCCTGCTTCTCTCTCTTTTCTCCTCGACCTCTCTAAGTTTTCTCTCTATCCCTTGTCATCTTGTTCAGTGTGTCTTGGCCGAGGTGATTTTGTCCTGAAAACTACATGAATAAGTCCAGATATCATCGTCACAATGGTTATGGGTGTCTGTCTGTGATCATGCCTGATTTCTTCGTTACTCGATTCGTCTTCTTAGCCCTTTATCCTCCTCCTCATCTGTCAATCCATGTTGCAGTGATGACGAATGTCACAATGTCATTCACTACTGCAGCAACATGCATTGGAATGTCCGAGTCAGTCGGACACTCATAATGGCTATGGATGTAATGAGTCTGTCGGATCATGGTGCGGCGACGAGAGTTTGGGTGCTTGGGTGAGTCTGTCGGGTTGTGCAGCGATGAGAGGTCGGTAGTTTCTGTGCAGTCTCAGGGCATACTCACACTGGTAGCAAAAATCACAAAAATCAAAGAATTCGCGACAGTACGGGGTCACGCTACGCCGGCACACAAATGTAGCAAATGTGTAGGCAAATCCCTCCAGACTGCCTGGCCGCGGGGGTATGCAATTTGCATGTTTGGCCGAGGGGGGTATGCAATTTGCATGCCTGGCCGCGAGGGTATGCAATTTGCATGCTCCTCACGATGCCGACGCAAATGCAAATTCGCCTTCACAAGACTTTCGGAGAAAAAAGGGATGGAAACAACGTCGGCGGCACATGAACCGATTCAAATTTCAAATCAGTTCAATCAATGGGTTCGATCGATTGATAGAATTGATCGGCACAGTGTCACACAGTCACACACACACACACACACACACACACACACACACACTAGATCCATTCAATCAATCTATAGAACCGACTGATTGAACCATTCAGTGTGTGTGTGTGTGTGTGTGTGTGTGTGTGTGTGTGTGTGTGTGCGTGTGTGTGCGTGTGTGTGTGTGTGTGTGTTTGTGTGTGTGTGTGTGTGATATTCACTATACACTCAAAAAAAGCATGACTGTGCCAGATTGTTTGCCGGACTACTCATCCGGAGGGTGTGTGTGTGTGTGTGTGTGTGTGTGTGTGTGTGTGTGTGTGTGTGTGTGTGTGTGTGTCCACGCAAGCGCAAATCCGTGAGGGAGTATCTGCGCGCTGCAGGCGAGCACACACACACACACACACACACACACAGACAGACTCGCTTGCAGGTAAGTCTTTTATGTTTTCGTTGTCTTTTTTTCTTTTTTCTTTTTTTTCTTGGGGGTGCCCATGCCCCTTCCCTCCCCTCCACGACCCCCCCTTGCCACCCTTCCCCTTTTCCTCCCACCCCACCCCCCTCGCCGTGTTTTGAGGTAGCCACAAACGCGTTTGTTCAACGCGAATTCCATGAACACGGGGTTACACAGGGTCACATTTATTACCAGTGTGAGTATGCCCTCAGTCCAAATGGTGGTATGCAACGCTGCTCGCGTGGTGGTACGGGTTTCGTCATCTCTTTTATCTTTTCTGTCGCCTCTGTATGGACCTCTCCAAAACCGATGTCGAAACGACAAACAACAAACGCATCTTCCCGAGGAGAAGGGCAAGTTGCATTGGTTACTATGAATAGCAAAAAATAGTAACGGATGCATTTTACCACCTTCTGCAGCAGATGCATTCGCTCTCTTTTTAAATAAAAATTGCAGTGACCCTGTAGTGAAGACTCCATCTATATTAGTGGGGAGCAGCACCTGCTGGAAACCAGGTCACGCGTCCCTCCATCATTTTTCGACAGTTTTATAAAAGATTTCTTTTCTTTTCTTTTTTGTTTTAAATCAGAAGCGCGGGCCCAGTGCCCGAGGCTTATATTGTCAAACAGGAAAAATGAGGCCGGACTCCTCACAGTCTGCCCGGACGAGGAGCCGTCTGGGAGCGTTACCCAGTTTCGCTTACAGGGCGGAGCCCTGCAGAGGACCAACCCCCTGATGAGACGGATGTAAACACATGGTGGGAGAACTTCAACTTAAACATGCGATCCCGAGCTAATCCGTAGGTAAGTAACCACCCTACACCGGGCGGTTGGAACTTAGAACAGTTCCCCAACGGGGTGGCACTCCCTCCTGCCCTATTTCCCCAACGACTTCCCTCCTACTGTGGCGATAGAACCGAGTGCCCAGGTATTCAGCTGGCATCTAATAGCCAGCCATTGAAAGTCACTTCGTTACCTTCAACCCTCGCCAAACCTTCACCCAGGTCCCAGGTCCCCAGGAACCACGTTAGGCTCCCGGCCCTCTGCCGGGGGCGCCCAACCTTCCTCCTCCAGTCGCTTAAAATTACCAACCTGACTTGTGTCTTCACTGAGGCTTTAATTGCATGATCTGACAGGAAGCGCCCTTCAAAGATGCACTTGTTCCTCACTTCCCAAATTACCGAAAATACACAGGCTCTCAGTCCGTGGGCGATGTAACCCCAGCCCTTGTGTAGTACAAAATTTCCGGGGACTCCCTCATGTAAAATCCATCTGTCATCCCAGGGGAAGGCTGGGCCGCCTATAAGATCCCATTGCGCTCTCCACGAAGGAATTCACACATTCTGGTTTTTCTTTCTTCTTCGTCCAGACTCTAAAAGCCTGCGTTGCTCGCGTAAAACATAAATCTTGGATTTATGAAAACGCGCGAAGCGATCACTTCGAAAAACAAGTGATGGAGTGTTGTTTTCTAGTGCCTTTCTTTTGATCACTTGGGATACACTCACTTCTCCCATTGAGACCAGTTCCAAATTCGTGTTGAAAGTGGACACGAGAGCCAGAGGTGGGTGGTGGACTCAACTGCTCCTTTGCATCTACTGCACTCCACTGAGATTTCCAACCCTCGTTTTGCCAACCACTCAGTGGACGGGGTGGCTAGCACAGCCTAGCAGAGATACGAGCCACAGCAGGGCTGTGGCTCTCCGCATGGGTGCTGATTGGAGCTGCTCCCAACGTCGTGTGAGGGCACTAGAGGTCTCTCCTTCTTCGAATGTTGAAGTTTGTGACCATCTGCTGACAGCAGTGATCTGTGGTGTCCTATTTGGCTGCGAGAGGCTGTAGCCTACAGCCGAGGAGTAGTCTGTCAGCCAGGCTTCTTGGGAAACCATAGCCCCTCCAAGTCCACATGCGCGGGTCTAGCTTCAGGCGTCGAACTGGTGTGCCGTTAGCCCAGAGGTTACAAGACCAGTCCCCATCCTCGTTGCAGCTTTCCTGAATTCTGACCTGCAGCAGGTTACCCAATGGTCTGGAGGCTTGATGTTGTGAGTCATCTCTGAGCATTAGCTGTGTTGTGTGTGCCTGTCCTTCGCATGCGGTGAAGGACCTGTTCCCATCCCCATCTGTACCTTGTAGCTTCCAATAGATATTGGGGTGTTCGTCTGTTGCTTGGACAAACCAAGTGCCTGGTGGAGCTACAGTAACTCCTTGCAGGCTTAGGATCTGGTGCCAGGCGTCCGGGATAGCTTCCAGAAGCTGCGTGAAACGAGCTCCGACCTGTGCAAGTCTTCCGATTTTCTCTCTAAGGTCTGACACCGAATACCATTGTCCTGTGAGTGGATTCCACAAATCTGCGATTCTGAGCACTTCCCTCTCAATCCATGCCCGACCAAATGCTTCTCTGGATCCTCCTGTTGAGAAAGGTCCGCCATTTGGAGCCAAAATGAATGGGTTATCGAACAAAGGTCGTGCCAGAACTTCATCCCTTGTCAAGGGTGCTGTCCAGATCCGTGGGCCAATTTTCCTCCAAGCTTGCAGGACCCCCTTCCAAAATTCTGATCTGACCTTCCGTCTCAGGAAGGAGTCCATCATGCAGCAGGTCCAAACATCACTGGTCCCAGGCAGTCTCCCGTCTTCTGCTAGTAGTTCCTCGGCTAGCAGAACCCAGTGATCCTCGGAGTTGTTACCGATCGCCCGGGTCCATTTTGCTAAGAGTGCTGTGTTCTGTCTCCCTGGGCCTAGTATCCCGAGGCCGCCTTCTGAGCGTTCAGTGCAGATCAGGTCCCATGCCACCTTGGAGATGAAGCTGGTGTCTGTYTTGCCAAAGGGTTTCCATATAAATCGGGCAGCGGCATTACGGACCACCTTAAGGAACTTCTCACCCAGAGGTCTTACTGCACCTACAAACCAGAGCAGGGAGAACAAGGCTACATTCGTGACTAACGCTCTCGGGGAGATAGGTGTTTGGCTGGGCCCCAAACAGTGATAGGTGTTTGGCTGGGCACCAAACAGCAATTCTGCTCAACACTTTTGTTGTAGCAGGTCGTTTTGAGCATCCGCAGTCTTGCTGAGAGCAATTTGGACCCCTAGGTATCTCTCTGTGTTGTCACTCAATACCTGTTTCATCCCCCACTCAACTGCAATGACATATCTCTTGGACAGAAAAAAAAATAACTTGTTCCAGTTTACCGCAGCTTTAGAGAGGGTTGCGTATTCCACCAGGCAGGCCTAAAGTGCCCCCAAGGAGTCGACAGTCAGATCATCTGCCAGAGCTTTAACCCTGCATTCCCTGTGCTGTGTGGGTAGCCCTTTGACGAGGGGCTGTGAACGGATAATGCTCGCAAGTACCTCCAACTGCAAGACGAAGAGCAGGGGTGCCAGGGGGCACCCTTGTCTTACCAAGCGGG